TCTTGAGCCGCTCGCTGAAACAGCGGCTCGTAGTCTTCCACCGCGGCCGTGATGCTGGGCGGGGGCTCCACCAACACGCAACTGAGCCTGGCAGCAGTGGCAGCAGCGCCTCCGCGCCGAGCGTGCATGAAGGCGCGAAGCTGTTGCCCGAGCCAACGGATCGCGCGATGACCAGGGTAACGCACCTTACCATCCTGGCCCAAGATAGGTTTCCACACAAGTTGAGGACCCAGGCCCCTGGAGCCAAGCGTGGGGGGGGGCAACACCCACCAGGGGAATAAGGTCACGTTCAGCGTGGTCGGCCCACTTCCTGTAAAGAAAGCCCAGAAGACGTTTGGCCCCCTGGCCGTCTCCATTCTGAAGACAACGTTCAGCCTCGGACGCCAGCGCAAGTTCCCCAGCCCAACAACTTTCTCTGGGGGCAGGGCCAAACACCACCTGACACGGCAGGGGGGGAGGCTTCCTGAACGAGAGAGCGTGAAGCACCGCCAGCTGGGGGTGGAACACCAACTGGACGGGCCTGTGGGGGGAGAGCTCCGTATCCAATCTCGTATCGACCGGCTTGAGACCCTTCGCCAGACCGCCCGAACAAACGAAGTAGTCGACCGTCGTGGGAGTGCCCACAGGATAGTGCGTCGCGACAATGGGGAAGATGAGGGAAGCCCTCAACTCAGACACAAAAATGGAAGACTCGAGCTCAGCAGGCTCCAGAGTAAAGTCGGCACCGAGCACCCACGGCTGGCCAACAGCCGAAAGTTGCTCACCGAGCCTCGCGAGCAGAGACAGATTACCATCGCTGAGGCCTTCTGAGTGGTGAAGGTAGGCAGAGGCAACCAGGATGGGGGGAGCCCCAGGGAGGTGCGCAGAGCACGCGATGCATCGCCCAGGCGTCGTGATGGCACCCTCGACTTCCAGAAGCCCCATCCAAGAGCGCACGAAAATGGCAACACCTCCACTCGTGTCCTGCGCTTGGGTGGGGATAGCAGGGGCCCAAACCGACTTCCATCCATGCCTTATGCACCAAGCACTGGCCTGCTCGATGTCCTCCTTGGAAATCAGACGGTGCTCCTGACCGAGCACAGTGTGGGCATGACAAACTTCGAGCAAACCCTTCAACGTGCCCCGCGAGTTGGCGTTAATGGTCTGAATCGTGAGTGGCACCATACTGTCAGAGTTAGAGGCCGATGGCTGCTCGCTGCCGACAAGAGGAGCAGGCACAGGCAGGCTGACATTGCTGACCGAATGCGCTGTCGAATTGAAACAGTCAGGGGGGAGCTGAGACCTCTGAGAATCCAAGGGTTCGCATTTGCCCTTGGAGCGACCTGACTTAAAATCTCCGAGAGCGACGAGCTCAACGTGGGGACGAGAACCCCCCTCCATGGGGGGGCAAACAGAAGTGGCCACGTGCGGGACAGCCCCGCCCATGGCATCCTTGCGCGCCGACTTACCAAGGGAGTGAACAGGATACAAAACCCTTGGCATCGCGAGGTCCAGCAAAGACACAGGGGAAGAGACAGGGGCCCGATCAGCCTTGCGTCGAAACATACCCCTCTTGCGGATGAGGGCATCTTGCGCTACTGAGCGGAACTCCGTGTGCAGAGGTAAAAAACCTGCTTCAAACCCCCCTTGGAGGCAGCCTTCCGAACGAAGGACCTGCGGACCCCAATCAAACGACGACTCGAGGAGGCGACGAGCATCAGGGCTAGCCTCCAGGGGGTAGCTAATCGTTGACTGTGTGAGTGGCCGCGGCAATGCGGTCAGCGCGCTCACGAGCCGTGCCTGTCGTAGAAGGCGTGGACGGAGCCGCTGCCGCAGCGCCCGCTGCGCCTGGCGCTGCTGCGCCACCACCCCCTGGAACGGCTCCTGCGCCCTCGTCTCCTTCAGCGTGTGCACCAGCATCAGGAGGTTCTTCGAAGGCCGCTTCCTGCTCCACCACCCGAGGCCGCTTAGCCGCAAGCCTCTTGATGTGCAGCGCGTGGGCGGACTTGAGGCCGTCGACCTTCTGCTTGGCCTCGGCGAAGAGGGTGCCCGCCATCGCCGTGAGCCCTGCCTTGAGCTGTTGCACACGTGACTCGATCTCGATGTTGTCCGACTCGTCAAGCTCCACGCCGTCGCAGTTGAACAGGTCCGACACGCTGATGTCAAAGACCTTCGCGAGACGCTCCTGATCCATGATGTCCTCCAACGCAAGCTTGACCGTGGCCGCGGGTGGCTGCTTAGCTGCCTCTTGCGACCCAACCAAATCCTGCAAGAGAGTCGAATGCTCGCCTTCTGCATTGGTGAGCTCCGCGCGCAGCTCCAGCACCACCGTCTTCTGGTTGTTGAGCTGAGCTTCGTACTGTTCGTACTTCCCAACTGCCGACTCCAAACGCTTGTTGATCCCATGCGCTTTCCAGTGAGCCCGATTGAGACGAACTTGAATAGCTTCTTCTGCCTGCTTCGGCGCGGTGAGGGCCTTGGCTGCACGACGATGAGCTGCTGCGCCTGCAGCGTCTCCCATACGTTCAGCGAAGCCTGCCATGGTCTCGTACTCCGCGGCGGTGAACTTTGCAGCAGCAGCACCAGCAGGAACGGGTTGCTGGCCGCCTCCCTTGGGGTAGCCACCTCCAGCACCTTTCTGTTGCTGCCCTGCTTCGCCACCGCCTGGACCCTTGCCCCACACAGCGCCACCGTTGAGCTGCCCGTATCCGAACAACTGACGCGCAGCATCACCAGACCGTGCCGAAGTTGGGACTCGTTTATAGGCTCCACAGTGTTTGCAATAATAGAACCGAGCGGCATTCTTGGAGCAACCACAAGCCTGGCACTTCCACTTCTTACCTGGCAGCTGGTTGTCTGTCTGATCCTGCACACCGCCGCCGCCCTTGCAGAACAGAGGACCAGGCACCAGAGGAGGCCAGACATCGCTGTACGACAAGCCCTTGCCTCCGCCTTTTGCCTTGCCCCACGCCATGCCGAGGGAGTGGCTCTATGGACTGACCACCGACCACCGCACAGCCTAGTCGTGGTGAAAGCTGCGATGCGTGGGGCGGACCACGCACCGCTCAGCCTGGGACGAACCAGGCGAAAGTTGAAAGCTGGCCGCGGACTAGCGGTATCCACTTAGTTCCCAGGGGAACCAAAACCAACTTGAGCCAAAATGGCTACGGAGCGGCGGCTGGAGGAGGAGGAGGAGGAGGAGGAGGAGGAGGAGGAGGAGGAGGAGGAGGAGGATGGGGGGAGGGAGGAGGAGGAGGAGGAGGAGGAGGAGGAGGAGGAGGAGGAGGAGGAGGAGGAGGAGGAGGAAGAGGAAGAGGAAGAAGATGAGGAGGAGGAGGAGGAGGAGGAGGAGGAGGGGAGCGAGGAGGAGGAGGGCCAGGAAGTGAGGGATGGGGGGGGCGCGGGCGAGGCGGAGCACACCGCTGCGGTGCCTCGTGCAGGCAGTGCACGGGCCGCGTCCGTGACGCGAGCGCCGCTATGAAAGCAAAGAAACGTCCCGCTGCTCCTCCACATCGGCATCAGCAGCATCATTGTCATCCCCCTCCCCCACCTGCTCTTCTTCTTCTTCTTCTTCTTATTCTTCCTCATCCTCATCCGTCTCCTCTTAACTTCATCACCATTACCATCTCCGTGGCCATCGTCATCGTCGTCATCGTCTTCATCATCATCATCATCATCATCATCATCATCATAATCACCACCATCATCATCATCATCATCATCATCATCATCATCATCATCATCATCATCCGCAACATCATCATCACCATCATCATCAGCATCACCAGCATCACCAGCATCACCATCGTCGTCACCATCATCATAATCATTATCACCATCATCGTCCTTATCATCACCATCTTAATCATCATAGTACTCGTCATCATCTTCGTCATACTCATCAGCACCATCACTATCATAATTAATATCATCATCATCATCTTTATCGTCGTTACTAGCAGCACCGCTATCATCTTCACCATCACCATCAACATCAAAAACACAATTCTTATACTCATCCACATAATCAACATCACCATCGTACTGTCCATGGTCATCTTCACCGCCATCATCATCATCAAAACAATCATCATCTTCCTCAGCATCATCTTCCCCCCCACCTGCTCATCCTCCCCCTCCTCCTCCTCACCATCATCATCATCATCATCATCATCATCATCATCACTGACATCGTCGTCGTCGCCATCGTCGTCGTCCCTCACCTCAGAACCAGCCGTCGCAGTGTTTTTTCACACCGCGCGGTTTCGCCTGGCTTCGGGCCTTGGGGCCATTCTTAGATCGATGCAGCGCGAAAGGAATGCCGCAGAAAGATGGGGACTGAAGCTCCGGTCGTGATCTCTGCGACGTTGCATTTTTTGCAACGTCGGATCTCAGGGTCCTCGCTGCCTCCTCCTCTTCCTCCCTCCTGCCTCTTTCCCTCTCCATCCCTTTTCTTCAAGGCGGCGGCCCGACGCCTGTGTTCCGTGGAGGTGTTTTTCCTGTCCGCGCGTGTGGTCTTCCGCGTCGTCGCGCTGTCTATGGGGTCAGGGCATATGTTTCGTGATGCGACATTGCAATGGCGTCCACTCCACTCCTCTCCCTGTCTTCGTCTCCCGCCTCAATCCTCCCCCTTCCTCATTCGTGCGCCTTCCTCCCCATCCCCTCCTCCCCGTCCACCTCCTCCCCTCTCCCCTTCCTTTCAAACTGGCGAAGTCTGCGAATCATTGTCATGCGTGCCACGTGCTTGTGACCTTGGTATGCCTTGTATGGCGGCATCCAGGCGTGAGCGATCTTGTCGTTGGACGAGTGTCACAGTTATCACTCTCCGTTTCAGCGTGATGAAATGCACCAACATCATTAAGGCTCGGATTGCCTTGCTTTGGTTTTTGTCATTGACTTGCTCACACAACGTGCGTAGAGCCCCACCGAAGCCCCGAAAATCACAGAACGCGCCCGAGCACCACCCTTCCTCCCTGCTTCCTCCCTTCCCCGCTTGCGGGCCGTGGCCCCAGCACCTGGCCATGTTTTGGGGCAAGTGACCACCGAGGACAGGCGTGCTGGCAGAAGGGAACCTTCAAGCTGAGCAACGCGGGAGGTGTTCCCACCTGTCGCCGAGCGCGTTCCACTACTCGCAAACATACGGAAAAAAACATGTTAGCCTCGATGTAATCTATCGTACATCCCCCGTAGCGGATCCAGGCAACTTGCGAGTAGTGACTGTGCGAGTAGCGGAACGCGCTTGTGCCTGACCAGGGAGAGTTTTTCCGGGTGCAGGGGGAGGGGACATCCCATTTCGGCTCCGGCGGTGGGCCACACCCCCGAAGCAGGCGATAGGAGGGGAGGAGAGAAGAGGGGCCCCAAGATCCGTCTGTTCGAACAAACTGCAACATCGCAAACAATCACGGCCCCGCCGGAGCGTCGGACCTCATGCTGAGCCATTCTTCGAGCCGGATCGATCTGTGACGGTCCCGGGGCTGGAGGTCGGGCGAGCACGCCCGCGGCGAGAGCACTGCAGCGCCCGGATCTCAGGGAAGGAACCCGGAGGCAGAGGCGAAGGAGGAGACGGAGGTCCGGCAGTGGCGAGGCGTCCTGGCGTGCCTACAGGCCCACCTGAGAATGTTCTAAGAACCGCTTGTGGTCTGCACGAGAAGCTTTTAGAACATGTCTTGCTGAGACTGTCTTGTATTCTCATATCGGGCGCATGCTCTAACAACATTGTTTTTGTGGTTGAACATTCTTGGGCTCCAGGAACATTCAGTGGTAGCCAATGGGAATGCCAGGACGGTCGGTCCCTGGTCACGGAGGAGACAGGGGCATCCAGGAACCAGTCACCGAGCGCGTTCCACTACTCGCAAAATGCCTACTCGCAAACGTCAGAGGAAAACATCTCCTCCTCTACGTAATATATCGTAAATCCCCTACGGCGGATTCAAGGCATTTGCGAGTAGTTACTTTGCGAGTAGTGGAACGCTCCTGTCTAACCAGGAGGCGGAGGAGACGGGAGCTCTCCCTCTCTCCCTCCCTCGCCGCTGGGGCGGGCTGCATCGTGGCCGTGCCCCGCCGTGGAGCTCCTGCCCAGCCCTGCGCCAGCCCCAGCCCTGCCCAAACCCAGCATGCGAGAGGAGGAGGAGGAGGAGGAGGAGGAGGAGGAGGAGGAGGAGGCGGAGGAGGCGGAGGAGGAGGAGGAGGAGGTGGAGGAGGAGTAGAAGGAGGGGCAAGAGGAGGAGGAGGAGGAGGAGGAGGAGGGACGAGGGGGGGGAGAGGAGGAGGGAGCAGGGAGGGACGGAGGAGGAGGAGAAGAAGGCCCTGACCTGCCCTGCACAGTCATTGTGCTACCATGCGGGCCGCGGAATCGGGAGCCGAGCGGTGGTTCTGGACAGCGAGCCTCGGACACGAGCAGGCTCCCGACCGAGCTCCAAGGAGCGGCCCGGGCACCGGAGCCCCTCCCGTGCCCAGCGTGGTCTTGATTGCAGCGGCTTGCTTGGCTGCATGCTTCGAGAAGAAGAAGCACACGCCTAAACATAAATGTTTGGCGCTCCGCGCGGATCTCTTGGATCCGCGCTGGGCCCCCCCCCCGGCGGCGCCTCCAGCGCCGCTCTTGGTGCGCTCCGCGCGCCAGGGAGGGGGGGGGGGTCCAGCGAGGATCCAAGAGATCCGCGCGGAGCGCCGAACGTTTATGTCAATGGCCTTTCTTCTTTTCCTTATTCTTCTTATTCTGCTTCTTTGCATGTTACCCTGCCCGACGGGGGTTCGTGTCGTGCCGACGGGGCGGCGACCCTGTCGCGAGCGTTCCAGGTGGAACGCCGCCAGTCGCTCGGTATCGGCCGACACCGAGCGATCCACGGCATCGGAAGCCGCCATCGTTCAGAGTTGGCCGATCCACGCGGTGTCAGAAGCCAGCGCCCGGGGCGTCACGACACGAACCTGCCGCCGCGCTGCCCCATTCGTGCCTCTTGCCTGCCCCGTCCCATTCGGGGCGCTTTCGGGCGGGCCCGGTTCCCCCTTCGGGCCGCCTTCGCGCCGCCCTGGGCCTGCCTCTGTGGACATCGCTCCTGGAGCAAGCTGGGCTGAGGAGGTTCAGGATGAGGAGGAGGAGGAGGAGGAGGAGGGGGAGGAGGAGGAGCAGGAGGAGGACGAGGAGGAGGAGGAGGAGGACGAGGAGGAGGAGGAGGAGGAGGCGGAGGCGGAGGCGAAGGTGACGAGGATGAGGAGGTGGAGGAGGAGGTGAAGGAGGAGGGAGAGGAGGAGGAGGACAGGAGGAGGAGGAGAAGAAGGAGGTGGAGGACGAGAGAAGGAGGAGGAGGAGGAGGAGGAGGAGGGAGGAGGAGGAGGAGAGGCTGGAGGAGCGGAGCGGCGGAGGGGCGGAGGAGGCGGAGGAGAAGGACGAGGGGAGGAGGAGAAGAAGGAGGAGGAGGAGGAGAAGGGAGGAGGTGAAGGGAGGAGGAGGGATGAGGAGGAGGAGGAGACATAATGGGAGAGGATGAGGGAGGAGGAGGGAGGAGGAGGGATGAGGAGGGAGGAGGAGGGAGGAGGATGGATGAGGAGGATGAGGATGAAGAGGAGGAGGAGGAGGAGCAGAAAGAGGAGGAGGACGAGGAGGATGATGAGGATACGGTTGCCCATACGATTGTTCTCGTCAATCTTGTGAAAAGTGTAATACGAGGAAGTCAAAGACGAACTGTGAAATTTATCATAGTTCTTATCATTGGAAGAATACCACTGGGACGAAGAGTTCTAATACTATTAATACTTCAAGGAGATGACAAAGAGGAGGGGAGGAGGACGAGGAGGAGGAGGAGGACGAGGAGGAGGAGGAGGAGGCGGAGGGAGGGCGGAGGTGAAGGTGGACGAGGATGAGGAGGTGGAGGAGGAGGTGAAGGAGGAGGGAGAGGAGGAGGAGGACAGGATGAGGAGGAGGAGGAGAAGGAGGAGGAGTTGGTGAAGGACGAGGAGAAGGAGGAGGAGGAGGAGGAGGAGGAGGAGGAGGCGGAGGAGGCGGAGGCGGCGGAGGCGGCGGAGGAGGCGGAGGAGAAGGACGAGGGGGAGGAGGAGAAGGAGGAGGAGGAGGAGGAGGAGAAGGAGAGGTGAAGGGAGGAGGAGGATGACAGGAAGGGAGGAGAGACATAATGGGAGGATGAGGGAGGAGGAGGGAGGAGAGGGATGAGGAGGGAGGAGGAGGAGGAGGATGGATGAGGAGGATGATGATGAAGAGGATGAGGAGGATGAGGAGAGGAGGAGGAGGAGGAGGAGCAGAAAGAGGAGGAGGACGAGGAGGATGATGAGGATACGGTTGCCCATACGATTGTTCTCGTCAATTGTGTGAAAAGTGTAATACGAGGAAGTCAAAGACGAACAGTGAAACTTATCATAATCCCTATCATTGGAAGAATACTACTGGGACGAAGAGTATGAGTACTATTAATACTTACAAGGAGATGACAAAGATGGGGGAGGAGGAGGACGAGGAGGAGGAGGACGAGGAGGAGGAGGAGGAGGCGGAGGCGGAGGCGAAGGTGGACGAGGATGAGGAGGTGGAGGAGGAGGTGAAGGAGGAGGGAGAGGAGGAGGAGGACAGGAGGAGGAGGAGAAGGAGGAGAGGAGGTGAAGGACGAGGAGAAGGAGGAGGAGGAGGAGGAGGCGGCGGAGGCGGAGGCGGCGGAGGCGCGGAGGAGCGGAGGAGAAGGACGAGGGGGAGGAGGAGAAGGAGGATGAGGAGGAGGAGGAGGAGGAGGAGGCGAAGGGAGGATTTGAAGGAGGAGGAGGGATGAGGAGGGATGAGGAGACATAATGGGAGAGGATGGAGGGAGGAGGAGGGAGGAGGGATGAGGAGGGAGGAGGAGGGAGGAGGATGATGAGGAAGAGGGGAAGGATGGGAGGATGAGGAGGAGGAGGAGGAGGGGGAAGCAGAAAGAGGAGGAGGACGAGGAGGAGGATGAGGATACGTTGCCCATACGATTTTCTCGTCAATCTTGTGAAAAGTGTAATACGAGGAAGTCAAAGACGAACTGTGAAATCTATCATAATTCCTATCATTGGAAGAATACCACTGGGACGAAGAGTACTAATACTTTTAATACTTACAAGGAGATGACAAAGACAGGGAGGAGGAGGAGGAGGAGGAGGAGGAGGAGGAGGAGGGGAGACGGAGGGGAGACGAGAGGAGGAGCGAGAGGGAGGAGGAGGCGGCGGAGGAGATGAGATGAGGAGGTGGAGGAGGAGTGGGAAGGAGGAGGGAGAGAGGAGGGGGACAGGAGGAGAGGAGAAGGAGGAGGAGAGGTGAAGGACGAGGAGAAGGAGGAGGAGGAGGAGGGAGGAGGCGGAGGCGGCGGAGGCGGCGGAGGAGGCGGAGGAGAAGGACGAGGAGGAGGAGAGGAGAGGAGGAGGAGGAGAAGGGAGGAGTGACGGGAGGAGGAGGGATGAGGGGGGAGGGGAGACATAATGGGAGAGGATGAGGGAGGAGGAGGGAGGAGGAGGGATGAGGAGGGAGGAGGAGGGAGGAGGATGGATGAGGAGGATGAGGATGAAGAGGAGGAGGAGGAGGATGAGGAGGAGGAGGAGGAGCAGAAAGAGGAGGAGGACGAGGAGGAGGATGAGGATACGGTTGCCCATACGATTGTTCTCGTCAATTGTGTGAAAAGTGTAACACGAGGAAGTCAAAGACGAACTGTGAAATTTATCATAATTCTTAGCATTGGAAGAATACCACTGGGACGAAGAGTACTAATACTATCACTACTTTCAAGGAGATGACAAAGAGGAGGAGGAGGAGGATGAGGACGAGGAGGAGGAGGAGGAGGCGGAGGCGGAGGCGAAGGTGGACGAGGATGAGGAGGTGGAGGAGGAGGTGAAGGAGGAGGGAGAGGAGGAGGAGGACAGGAGGAGGAGGAGAAGGAGGAGGAGGAGGAGGGGTGAAGGACGAGAAGGAGGCGGAGGAGGAGGAGGAGGAGGCGGAGGAGGCGGAGGCGGCGGGAGCGGCGGAGGAGGCGGAGAGAAGGACGAGGGGGAGGAGGAGAAGGAGAAGAGCAGGAGGGAGGAGGGAGGAGGAGGAGGAGGAGAAGAGGGAGGTGAAAGGAGGAGGAGGGATGAGGAGGGAGGAGGGAGACATTATGGGAGAGGATTGAGGAGGAGAGGAGGAGGAGGGATGAGGAGGGAGGAGGAGGGAGGAGGATGGATGAGGAGGATGAGGATGAAGAGGAGGAGGATGAGGAGGATGAGGAGGAGGAGGAGGAGGAAGCAGAAAGAGGAGGAGGACGAGGAGGATGATGAGGATACGGTTGCCCATACGATTGTTCTCGTCAATTGTGTGAAAAGTGTAATACGAGGAGTCAAAGACGAACTGTGAAATTCATCATGGTTCTTATCATTGGAAGAATACCACTGGGACGAAGAGTACTAATACTATTAATACTTACAAGGAGATGACAAAGAGGAGGAGGAGGCGGGGGAGGAGGAGGAGGAGGAGGAGGAGGAGGAGGAGGAGGAGGAGGAGGAGGAGGAGGAGGAGGAGGAGGAGGAGGAGGAGGAGGAGTGGGAGGAGGAGGAGGAGGAGGAGGAGGAGGAGGAGGAACGTCAGGGCGGGACAGCCGGGGCGGGTCAGGCGCACGTTGGCCTGCCACCTGCCTGGCTGGGAGGAGGCGCTGCCGCCGGGCGGCGCGGGGCAGTGGCCGCCCAGGCCGCCGCCGCCGTTCTCGCCTCGTTCCTCGCCGCCACCGGCGTTCGAAGAAGAAAGCACGCCATGAACATACATTTTCGTCGGTCCGCGCGGATTTCTTGGATCTGCGCTGGACCCATGTGTTCCCCACTCGCCGCCGCCGTCGCCGCCTCCGTCCTCGCCGCCGCCGCCGCCGCCGCCGTCGTCATCGCCGTCGCCCCCGTCTTTGCCGCTGTCACCGCCGCCGCCGCCGTCGCCGTCTTCGCCCTCGCCGTCGGCGTGGTCGTCGCCGCCGCCGCCGCCGCTGCGATCACGAGGGCGACGGACGCCGACGGCGGCGCTAGCCTTAAGTCGGGCGTCTCCCTCTACAGAAGGAATATTCAAGAATAGCCCAACGAGAATCCGGTGACGATTTTCGATGATTGTTTTAAAGGCTATTTTGGATTATGCCTGGACTATTGTTCATTCATTTGTGCTCCAAAATCCGCCTGCAGCAGGAGGAGGAGGAGGAGAAAGAGGAGGCGGAGGAAGAGGAGGAGGAAGAGGAGGCGGAGGAAGAGGAGGAGGAAGAGGAGAGGGAGGAGGAGGAGGAGGAGGAGGAGGAGGAAGAGGAGGAGGAGGAGGAGAAGGACGATGTAGGAGGACGTGCCCGACCCAACGCCAGCCAGCGACGACGGCGCGCCGCCGCCCCCCGCCGACCGCCGACCGCCGAGGCGGCGGCCGCCGCTGGCCGACCGCCGCGGGGCGGTGGTGTACGAGCTGCATGTGCGAGACTTCAGCGCGGGGGACCCCTCGGTGGCAGCGCGGCGCGCGCGCGTCTCGGCCCCCTCGGCTTCGGATTACTCCAGATTTCGTAACAAAAGGGAGGGTGTCTGGACCCTCCAGGACAAGCCATTTCAGACCGCCCCCGGGGGAGAGCCCTCCAAAACAGCGTCTCCAGACCCCCCAGGCCCTCCAAGAGAGCCCGGAAGAGACCCCCCCCGAAATGAGACCCCCCTCCCTTTCTTACGACATCTGGAGTCAGTCGGGCGCGCCCCTCTACAGGAGGAGCGTTCAGGAGTATACTCCAGGCGAAGGCAGGCCGGCGCATCAGAAGCAGTGGAGCGGAGACTGACACAAAAAGAGAGCAGCTCGGAGGTCCGCGCGGATCTCTCGCATCGGCGCTGGGCCTTCGGTGCGTCGGCGGGGGGGCCGGAGAGCGGCCAAACATCGGGAGTCCCATGCCTCGAGCCTCGATCCACCCCCTGTTCCTTCCTCTGCGAACTTGGCATCGCTCGGACGTGTGCATTTTTCCTTCGTCGAGGACCATCGAGGAGCATCCTGGATCATCTGGCGAAAAAACCACGCACGAAACCGAAAAAAGCACAGGAAATGGACGTCCGAGCGATGGCCAGCGAAGGGGTGGCACGGGCCAGGGAGGTCGATCCTCATCTCAGACCCTCGGCGGTGGTCCCGGGCACCGAGCATGCATCCTGGAGGCCGAATGCGAGTAGATGCCTCGGGTGGTCGAAAGACCGCGAACATCTGTGAGACATCGGCGGCGACGGCAAAATCTTCTTTCTTTTTGTTCCTCGTCCTCCTCCTCTCCCTCCTCCTCGTCCTCCTTCTCTTCTTCGTCCCGATCGCGGTAGATGCCCGCGGCAGTTCCGGAGCTTTCGTTCTTGTTAGGTCTCGGTCTCTGGGGGCCGTTGCTGGGCCTCGGGAGGTCTGTTGTGGTGGGGGGGGTTCTGGGCCCCTCCCCTGTCGCCGCGGCTGGATGCATTTGGGGAAACGATCGCGGTTGGATTCCAGGAAAGATCCGGGGGGTCCGTGGTGAGCGAGTTCTGCGTGGGGAAAAGGAATTTGGTTGCAGAGTCGAGTCTTTCCAGTTTTTCTTGGTTCTGGTCGTCGAAGGGCCACCTCCGGGTTCCCGGGGTAATTCGGGGGCTGTGTGGATCCCCGTCAGGGCCTCTCGGGTGCATTTAGGCGCCCTTTCACTTTTCTCGGGTCGAAGTGCTCAACTTTCTCCATTCGGGTTTCCCTTCTTACCCTCCTCTTGGGGCCGTCCTGGGGCTCTCCCCGGTGGCTTCGAGGGCCCTCTTGGGCCCTCTTGGGTCGTCTGGGAGCCTTCTTGGAGGCATGCATTGGGGTTTCCTCGGGTTGATGTGGGGGGCTCTTGGGGCTGCTGTGAGCCGCGTGACAGGCCAAGAAGCGAAAGTGCTGAACCTGGACGTCTCCCTTAGGCAGCGGGCCGAGGTTTGTTTCCGGGGGCCTCGTGGCACGCGCCCCGGTGGCGCGTCGGTGCGTGCCTCGGGGCTTCGGGGGCCGCCCCGAGGCACCGTCGGACGTCCTGGAGCGATCTCTTCACGAGTCGCAGCCCTGTGGGGCCGTCGGGGGAGCCCCTTGGGGCCGTCCTGGGGCCCTCCTCGGTGGGTGCGGGGGCCCTCTTGGTGACCTTTTTGGGCCGTCTGGGAGCCCCCTTGGCGGCGTACGGGGTTTCCTTGGACTGATTTGTTTTTTGTGGGCCTCGTGAAAGGCCGAGAAGCGAATGTGCTAAATTTACACGTTTCCCTTAGGGAACGGGCCGATGTTTGCTTGTGGAGGGCCTCTTGGGCCGCGTGTAGCGTGTTGGGGCGTGCAAGTGGTCTCAGGGGCCGCGTGAAAAGTCAAGAGGCGAACGTGCTGGGAATGTGTGCTTTCCATCGAGAATGGGACGGGTGTTGCTGTTGGAAGGCTTCTTGGGACGCCTCTGGGTAGCGTCTTGAGGCGTCTTGGGGGCCTGTGGGGCTGTCGGAAGGCAATCTTGGACGACTTGGGGCACTGTTGAAAGACTTGGGCCGACCAGGGGGCCTTTAGAGAACCCTCTCGGCCCGTCTTGGGACCATCCTGCTGCTCTCCAGGGCCGTTGCTATGGTTTCTGGGGCCTTCGTGGGGTTCCCGGAGGCCGCCTTGGAACCCTATTGCAAGCTTACTGGGCTGCTGCGGAGGGTCGATCTTGGAGGCTTCTTGGGCCGTTGTGGGCAGCGTGGAAGCCCAAAAGGCGAATGTGCTGATGTACGTTTTCCCAAGGGAATGGGACGACATTTGCTTTTGGAGGCCTTCGTGGAGCGCCTCGTAGCTTCTTTTTCCCAACCAACCTGTGTTGTTGGGTCCTCGTTTTGAAGAGACCGTGGCCCGCGTCTCCTCTCCTCCTCTCCTCCTCTCCTCCTCCTCCCCCTCCTCCTCCGCACACCCATTTCGGCACACCCCTCAAACGCTTCGTGGCCCCATAGGGAGCTCCGCCGAAGGTCCCAGTGGGTGTGCCCGCATGGGTCCCGCACACCCATTTCGGCACACCCCTCCCACGCTTCGTGGCCCCATAGGGAGCTCCACCGAAGGTCCCAGTGGGTGTGCCCGCATGCGTCCCGCACACCCATTTCGGCACACCCTTCACACGTTTCGTGGCCCCATAGGGAGCTCCACCGAAGGTCCCAGTGGGTGTGCCCGCGTGCGTCCCGCACACCCATTTCGGCACACCCCTCACACGTTTCGTGGCCCCATAGGGAGCTCCACCGAAGGAGTTGGTCCGCATGCGTCCCGCACACCCATATTTCGGGCTCACACGCTTCGTGGCCCCATGGGGAGCTCCACCGAAGGTCCCAGTGGGTGTGCCCGCATGCGTCCCGCACACCCATTTCGGCACACCCCTCACACGTTTCGTGGCCCCATAGGGAGCTCCACCGAAGGTCCCAGTGGGTGTGCCCGCATGCGTCCCGCACACCCATTTCGGCACACCCCTCACACGTTTCGTGGCCCCATAGGGAGCTCCACCGAAGCTCCCAGTGGGTGTGCCCGCATGCGTCCCGCACGCCCATTTCGGCACACCCCTCACACGTTTCGTGGCCCCATAAGGAGCCCCACCGAAGGTCCCAGTGGGTGTGCCCGCATGCGTCCCGCACACCCATGTCGGCACGCCCCTCACACGCTTCGTGGCCCCATAGGGAGCTCCACCGAACGTCCCAGTGGGTGTGCCCGCATGCGTCCCGCACACCCATTTCGGCACACCCTTCATATGTTTCGTGGCCCCATAGGGAGCTCCACCGATGGTCCCAGTGGGTGTGCCCGCATGCGTCCCGCACACCCATGTCGGCACACCCCTCACACGTTTAGTGGCCCCATAGGCACACCCTTCACGCGTTTCGTGGCCCCATAGGGAGCTCCACCGAAGGTCCTCGTGGCGCGGTCCGCGCGCGTCTCCACCACCCAGTGCACCTCCGTCGGAGGCCGTCGGGGTTCCGCGCCTCCCTCGCCCGTCGTCGCTCTGCCCAGCGGCAAGAGCCTTGCCCGCTATCAGCCAGCCAGCTAGCTCTCTTTGCTGCGCGCAGCGGACGACCCGCGCGCGTCGCTGGGACCCTTCTGGGGCGACCTGCGCGCGTCGCTGGGACTCCGCGCTGCGCTGCGCCCGCAGCTTTGGATTTTGAGTGCGCGGGCAAAGAGGGAGTAAAAGAAGGGGAGGAAGCGGGCGCGATCCTCGCGGTGGCGTCGCGGCGCGCGGGCGATGCCGTCGGGGAGTCCCGGGGGAGCTCCTTGCGGCGGCCACGCCCAGCGTCACGAGTACTCAGAGGCAGTCATTCACAAACTATTAACACTCATATACAATTTCACCATGCGTTGTCATACTCGCATTCATGCGCGTAGAGTCGCTCGCACGCAGATTCATTCACAGTCAGACGCACTCGCGCTCATATTCACCCGCGCTCAGTCTCCCTACGTACTCAGATCAATCGTTTTCGTTCGCATTGTGTACCACGCCATTCATTTTGGCACACCACTAGCACGGTTCGTTGCCCCATAAGGATCACCACCGAAAAAGGGAATCACAATTGCGGTACTCACACCTGCATATGGTTGGGTTTTTCGTCTGGCGAATTCAAGCGCCTCGGGGGCCTATGGGGAATCGTATACAGGCAAACTGGGGCGGTTTGGACCGAATCGTTCCCTTCGTGGGCCGTCCAGAAGGCCTTTGGGGGCCCTCTTGGCCCGTTGTGGGGCTCTCGTGGGGCCGTCCTGCGACTGTCCTGGGCCGTGGCTGTGGTTTCTGAGGCCCTCGTGGTGCGCCCAGAAGTTGTCGTGGAGCCTCGTTGAAAGCCTCTTGGGGTGTCGGGTCGGGGGTCGAACTTGGAGGTTTATTGGGCCGTTGTAGGCCTCGTGGAGGCCCAAGAGGCGAATGCAAGTTGTCCCTAGGGAGCGGGGCGATTTTCGTTTTTTGGAGGCCCTCGTGGAGCGCCTCTTGGACGTGTTTTTAAACGTCTTGGGGGCCTGTGGGGCCGTCTGGAGGCAATCGTGGGCGGTGTGGACCGAATCGTCCCCCGCGTGGGCCGTCTGGGCAGCCTTTGGGGACCCCGTTGGCCCGTTTTGGAGGCATCTTGGGACCGTCCTGCGGCTCTCCAGCGCCGTTGCTATGGTTTCTGGAGCCTTTGTGGGTCGCCTGGAAGCCTTCGTGGAGCCTTTTTGGGAGCTTCTTGGGCTGCGGAGGGTCGATCTTGGAGGCTTCTTGGGCCATTGTGGACCGCGTGGACGCCCAACAGGCGAATGTGCTGAAAATGTACGTTTCCCCGGAGGGATGGGACGATTTTTACTTTTGGAGGGCCTTCGAGGGGCGCGTCGTAGTACTTTTTCACGATTCTTGGGGGCTGATGGGGCCGTCTTGAGGCAATCTTCGGCGTTTTGGATAGATCCTTCGTCGATTCGTAGCTCTCTTGGACCGTTCTGGGGCCCTTTTGAACCTTTTTGGCATGTTTTGGGGCCTCCTGAGGCTCCAAGCGTGCGGTCGAGACCTTCGCCCCCCCCCGCCCCCCCTCCAAACCGACCGGACCCGGCCCCTAGGGGAGGGGTTTGGAGAGAGGGAAGTATCTCACACCTTGTGACCCCAAGGGGTCGTCGGATTTTCGCAAGGTTGGTTGGTAGTTTCTTGTTCGGCGTGCTGGAGTGCCAATACCAAGAAGGCTCCAAGACACTGAGCAAAGCGATCTCGTGCCCTCACAGAGTACGAGCGTTTTCTGCCCTCGTGCCAAGCAGGTCGAAACGCGCGAACGCACTGCACCTTAGCTGCCCCGATACGCAGCACGCAACACGTAGCGTATTGATACGGAGCTCAACACGTAGACTGACCACGCACGTTTCGAACACGGACGTTGTGAACACGGCACGTGCTACGTCTCAAAGCGCGCGCATCAGAACAGCTGAGCGCTGCACCAGGCCGGACACTCTGCGGCTCAGGCCCCCGACCCCGTCTCCTGGCATCGTTCGGACGTGTGCATTTCTTTCGGCGAGGACCATCGAGGAGCATCCTCGATCATTTCGCGAAAAAACCACGCACGAAACCAAAAAAAAAAGGAAATGGACGTCCGAGCGATGGCCAGTAAGGGGCAACGTTGGGGGGGATAGGATGCACGACGCGCACACACAGCGACTCCGACAACGAGGATGCCTCTCCCTCCTCCCTCCCTCCCCTCCGACGCACCTAATGTTTTTAATGGTGTATCGCTGCGCTACGCTACTCCCGATCGGCCCGAAGGCCGTGCCAATCTAGAACTCGGGGGAAAAAACTTGGCCCGTACCTCCGGCACCAGGGCAAACGTGCGATCGACTTACATGGACTGATTCACGGGCAGACAGGAGCGGGGAGCGGGGGAGGGACGGGAAGGGAAGGGGGAAGGCAGAAGGCAGCTTTACCATACACCACGGTATCTTGGCGCCACGGCGCCACCGCTCCGTTCCCAGGGGGACCGCGCCCCCGCGCGCACGCGGGCGTCCTCCCGCCCCAAGGGGCAACGTTTTTTTTCGGGGGGGGAATAGGCTCTCAGGGGGAGACGCCTCGGCCCCCCAAGTCGCGAGCTCACCGGCGAGAGGGGCCGGCTGGCCCGCCCCGCCCGGGAGAGTGCGGACGTGCTGTCGAGGCCCTGCCGCCGATCTGTCGGCGGTGCACCGCCGATTGGTTCCCCCCCGAACCTTGTTCCCCCTGATTTTGCACCTCGGGAGCTGGCCTGCGGGGAGGCGTCGGGATAGGACCCGGCGTTGCGGGTTCTGTTTTGTTCCTCTGGGGAGCCAGCTCCATTGATCTGGTGCTATTCGCCCCCCAATATGGGTACAGTGGATACCCATGCCAAGAAACACCCTGCTCGCCTCCAGGGTGCCATGGGTTGCTTGGGTTTCGATGGTTTTGCCATGGAAAGCGTGGCGTTCCCACACCCAAAGTCAATAATTCCATGGACGTCTGGGGGTCTCAGGGTTGGGTTCCTCGTGGAAGGTTTCTTGTGGTCGGGCCCTCACTGTATTCCATGCCATTATATTTCTTCCTCCGCCCGCATCGCCTCACCCTTCCCCCTCCTCCCCCTGCCCTCCCCCCTCCTCCCTTGCCTCGTCCCGCAGGCCGCGCCCCTCGTCCCTCCCTCCCTCCCTCCCTCCCTCCCTCGAGCCTGCTGCCTCCCACCTCCCTGCGCCCTTCACCCTCCGCTCTCCCTCCTCCCCCTTCCCTTCGTTCGTTTTGCTGTCTCCCCCTCGCCCCTACCTCGTTCATATTCGTCTCATGCACAGCCTCCTTTACCTTATTCTGGTCTCCCTCCCCTGCCTTCACTTCGCTCCTCCTCCTCCTCCACCGCCTTCCTCCCCCTCTTCTGTTTCATGTTTTTCTGACTTGTCCGTGCTCTTCGTAATATTTACCAGTATCTTGTATGTTCTGGGTTCTGCTCATTCTCTGTGTCCGCTGTCTCCTCATCTTCCCTCCGCGCCCTTCGCTCGCCGCACAGGTGCCAGAAGAGCTCCGGGGCAAGTACCTGGCGTTCGCGCAGGAGCCCCCCCCCCCGGTCTCTTGAGGCGAGGAAGAGTAGGAGGAGAAGGAGAAGGAGGAGGAGGACCAGTGTAAGCCCAAGACCCAAGGTCACTGCCATGGGCAGCAGCTAATCCAGAAGACAAGCACCCGTGCATCTTGAACCACGGGTCGGTTGCAGGAGATTGAGAGTTCATTTTTTCTTTGCTACATAATCTCGAAAGGTGACTCAGTGGGAGCGCTCACGGACAACGCAGACGGGCGACGACGACGCGACGACGAGGACGACAAGGACGACGAACGACGACGATCGACGATCAATGACGACGATGAACGACGGACGGCCGTCGCCCGACGACACGTGACCGACGACGACGATGCCTCCTCCTCTCCCTCCTCTATGTGTTGCTTCCTCATACGTCGGTTCCCTTCCTCTTCTTTCCCTCCTCCTCCTCCTCCTCCTCCTCCTCCTGCGCTTCCTCCTCTTCCTCCTCCCTCTTCCCCCGACCTAGGCGCCCGCTGCTCTCCCTCAGACAGACGGTGAGGCGCCCAAGGGTGTTATTTCTATTGCTGTTGATCTTTTTCCTTCTCTCCCTCCCATCCACCCCGTCCTCCAGGAGGAGGAGGAGTAGTAGGAGGAGGAGGAGATGTTGGAGGTGGAGGTAGTGGAGGAGAAGGAGAAGGAGGAGGAGGAGCAGGAGGAGGAGGAGGAGGAGGGGGAGGAGGATGAGGAGGAGGGGAGGAGGAGAAGATGATGGAGGTGGAGGTGAAGGTAGTGGAGGAGGAGGAGGAGGAGGAGAGGAAAGGGAGGAGGAGGAGGAGGAAGAGGAGGAGCAGGAGGAGCAGGAGGAGGAGGAGGAGGAGGAGGAGGAGGAGGAGGGGGAGGAGATGGCAGAGTGGAGGTGAAGGTAGTGGTGGAGGAGGAGAGGCAGGAGGAGGAGAGGGATGAGGAGAGGAGGAGGAGGAGGAGAGGAGGAAGAGAGGGAGGAGGAAAGAGGAGGAGGAGGAGGAGGAGGAAGGAGGAGGAGGAGGAGGAGGAGTGAGGAGGAGGAGGAGGAGGAGGAGGAGGAGGATGAGGAGGCAGGAGGAGCGGAGGAGGAGGGAGAGGAGGGGAGGAGGGAGGAGGAGGAGGAGGAGGTAGGCAGCCCCGCCGCACGCGCTCCCCACGGCCAGGAGGGCACGCGCGGCGACAAGCACCTGCGAGCGCTGGCCGCGCGCCCGGGCGCCCCCGCACGCGCGGAGCGCGCCACCGAGCGGGGGGGCGCCGCGGGCTGCAAGCCGCGGGGCGTGCGGTGCCAGTCGGAAGGCGACAAGGCACCCCCACCCCCGGTCCCGACTCCCCTCCCCGAGCCGGCGATCCGAGGGGTCGGGGCGGGGGGTGGGGGTGGGTTTTTCCTCCTCTCTTGGGTCCCGAGGGGCCACCCCCACCCCCCAGTCCCGACCCCCTGGGTCGCGGGTTCTAGGAAGGGCTCGGGACTGGGGGTGGGGTTGGGTTTTCGCCTTCCCGACCAGGACTGGACCTAAGCGCACCGTTTTGCTGGACCTCGGCTGTGTTTTGACTTTCGTTCTGGCAGGGAGCTTCAGGAGAACAGGCAGAACAACACGAGCAACATAACGAACACAACATATGAAAAACAACGTGTAGGACCAGCCCTGTGTGATACCGACGGCTGTCCCAACCGCGGGGGATATCTTCATTCGAAGAAGACAAGCGCCGTAGAGACAAGCTGTTGGCGATCCGCGTGTATTTCTTGGATCCGCGCTGAGCCCACCAGGCGGCGCCTCCGCGGCGCCCCTGGCGCGAAGTCCGCACGGAGCGCCAACGGTTTATGCTTATGCGTTGTTCCTTCTTCTGATAATTCAATGTATATCCGCTCTTGGTGGCTTGGCTTGGATGGAGTGAACATCTTCATGCTGGATGGGCTCATTTGGCGGTCTCACGTTGTTGTTGTCCCGTCGTGCTCCACAAGCGTCTATGCTGGTACTACGGGTGGGCCTCCCGTTCTTCGCTGCCGTGGTGCTCGTCGAGTTCAGGGGGGTGGCAGGCCATTCTATGTCACTACGTGATGGCCGAATCCCTTGAATCCCTCTTGTGTTAAGTCGGGCCTGTCCCTCTACAGAAGGACACTTCAAACATAGTCAAACATATTATGGGGACGACTTCTTCCAATATTTGTTCTACTAGTGTTGAAAGTTTTCGAGTACTTTTTGTATGTTTCCTCCCAACTCCGCCTGTCGGGGGACACGCCCGACCCAACTCTTGTGGCTACCCCTGCACGGCGGAATTGGGTGCGCAGTGTCCGTGCCATGCGTGCCCGCGCCGCTCCCCCTGGTCCGTGTCCTCTCCGGGCCGGGCGGGCTGCGTGTGTTTTCGGTAGCCTTGAGACGGGGGTCAGTGCAAACGGGGGTCAGCCAGGGCACCAGATCCTGCAGGATCCTGCGAAGACCCCCTCTGGCTGACCCGGGTTAGCGAGCCGCTCGTGGCCGCGAGGCCGCCGCGCATATTGGCTGACCCGGGTTTGCGAAGATCTGCGTTGCAGTTTTTTCTTTCCTGCATCGCAGTTTTTTGGTTTCCTGCTGACCCGGGTCTGGATTGACCCGGGTCAGAAGATCCCCGAAGTTTGCCTGCGCTGCGCTGCCATGGAGCGGTGGTCAGGCAGTGGCGAAGCGTCCTGGCGTGCCTATAGGCCTACCAGGCAAAGTTCCAAGAGCCTTTTGTGTCTTGCACGAGATGTTCTCAGAACAGTTCTGGCTGGGACGGCTTTGTTTTAGGACATTGGGATTATGTTCTAAGAGTATTGTTTTGGTTCTGGGAACATTCCTGGGTTCAAAGGACAGTTCGTGGTAGGCCTATAGGAATGCCGGGACGGTCGGTCCCTGCTCAAACCCGAGTCCAGGGTTTTGGCAGGTTTTGCTTTCATTGCCGTGCGGTCGTCCTCGTTCGTGTTGCGCGTATTGCTCTCTTGTTTGGGAAGCGACACAGAACATATAATCCTCCTTCTGTTCTGCCCGGTTATTGCAATCATTCTCCATGTCGCGTCCATATTGGCGTTTCGACTTGTTCATTGGGCATGGCTGCCAGATGGGTCTCCCAGTGCGACTTAAAACCAGAGTGGCCACAGGGGGCAGACGGCAAGGCCGCCTACGATTCTGGCATTGAGAGGACGTCCACCTGGACAAGTTGACTGAGGAAAGCTGCACACGGTCACTTGACATTGGCATTCGAGTGTGCTGGTGCCGTCCCGAGTTGGCTTCGCTAATCGGCGTCCGCCTCGCTGGGTACATCCTGTTGTTTTCGGATGTCGATTATCTGCCCCGCTGGGATGCAGTCGAAATGCGGTGACCTGTGCACGTGGAGTGACCCTGGCAGCCTTCACTAAAGGGAGTTCTGCTAAGGGGGGCTCTGTCCACCCCCGACCGATCCGATGTGATTCGATTCGCTGGCTGGGGCAGCGATTGCGATTCGGCATCGATTCGTTTCGGCTCATCGGCATCGGCCAAGTCCAGCCCGAGGCTAGGCCTGGCGATCCGATTTTCGAGCTGATTCGGGACGGTCCGCCGGCGATCCGATCCGTTTCCGATCCCATCCGGTTTCGGGTCCGTTCAGGCTTGTCAGGTAGAATAGAGGAGGGGGGGGAAGGGGTGGAGGGGTTCGGGGATCAACGATGACGGGCATGCGCGCGAATGGGGAGATTGCCA